TTCGACTGCTTTATATATTCAAGTAACGTTGTCTCAAATTATGACATTTATTTCACCTATATTGTAATACATAACAATGAGGTCAGCTATCTCGGTAAACATATAGATCTCGCTGCCGCCCTTCTTCTTTATTGCTACGATATTAATGGCATCTCTACGCAGAGCAATAAATCATTTTTATGACTTTTTTGCTTTGTACAATATTCTAAATGAGATGATTGCTTTTTTGGTCAATATCCGTACCCTTAATAAAGACAAAAGGAACATTTTTCTTTTGTATAAAAAATTATAACTTTGTGTTTAATTCTGGAATTGTTACGTAAAATATATATTTTCTTATTATTTCTAAATAAATAGTTAAAAAATGGTTTTAATATTTTTGTGTAAGTATTAATGTAATATAAAGAAAAGATATTCTCCTATAGAAGATTTTGTGGATTTAAATTATTATTATTAGTCACCAAAAGATAACAAACACTTACGTTATTTATTATGATATCAAAGTAATAAATAATTATAGATTAATTTACATCTTTATACTTTAGACATGGATTAAATTTATCTATCTATAAAAAAATTAAGTAAAAAGAAATAGTTTCTAACTTGAAAGAAGAGCCAAGTGCCCATTTCCGCTGATTTTTTCAGCATAGCTTGTGCTCTGAATTTTTGACCTTGACCAAGAGATATAGAATACAATTTTCTATCCATTTTTAACTTTTCGGCGAACTTATACAACTCTGCAGCTGGATCAGTACCAGGCGACAAAATAAAGACAATTGGCGTGGTGTTGGACGATTCTTCATAAATTGCTAATAATTCTGTAGTTTGGGGTTCAACAAATTGTTGTCCCAGATATTTTGTCAAATAAATTTGTATAGCATTGATGATCTTGTCGGGCCGTAAGCACTTGAGTACCAGTAACTTTTCAAAATCGTCGAGTTTTGTCTCCCATGGTTGAGGAAATGGTGCTCTAAATCAAATAAAATTCTATTATTAGCGCGCACAAGATCTTTAATTATTATAAAAATGGAAAAGGAGAGAGAGAGAGAGAGAAATTTTAAAACTATTTAATATTTAATATAATATACGAACTATTTTCTAAAAACTTATATTAAAAAGCATTCTTGCAATTAAAAATGAAACTTATTAATTAATACGATTAAATACAGCAAAATATTTTGTTACCAAAATAAATTATTTTACATTAACTTAATTTAATCTGCTTCCTCTCTTCTATTGAAATTTATGTAACTGCAATTTGTTGATTAATTTAATGTTATGGTTATAATTATTTTAGTGGATACGAGCTTTAACATAAAGCTTTAACATTAATCTACTTACAAATGTGCTTCCTGAGTATCGAATATGTTTTTAAATTGACGTAACGATAGTTGGAAAGATGTGATAAATTTGTCGAACTTTGGAAGTCGCTCTAAAGCTTGAATTTCCTGCCAGCATCGTGCGGTAATCCATTCTGATGCGGGATTTGGCAACTTCTATAAAGAGGAGAATCTTGGATGTATCGATATTGTGACAGAAATAATATATGTTTTCATATATCGTGATTCCTAAACACATGAATTGTATGTTAAAACATATTATGGAGCTTGCGCATAAAAGAGATTAAAAATTTAATTTCTAATTTTTTTCTATTCACAGCAAATTTCATATTTATTTATAGAAAGAAGAGATGAAAATATATTTTATACTTTTAAAGTTAAATAGACTTAAAATAAATTTATATTATTTTACACACATATATCTTATATTTAATTAAACGTTTAAGTATTACTAAATATATTTCGCAAATAGAATATTAATTTTAAAGATTATAAGTTTTTTTGTATAAAAAATTGCAATATATTCATTTATTAATGTATTACATTATTATATTAATGAATAATTATTTATAAAGTTCGTATTAAACAAAAAAGTATATTATGTATATATATATGTACATAGATATAATTACGTTATATTTGTATGTTTTATATCTTTTTAAAAATAATATGTTAATTAATTCAATAAAATGTCAATAAAATAAGTTTTCATTATCTATGAGAAGCGCGGTTAATATAAATTCAGTTCACGTCTTACCCGTATAGGTGTGGTTGTTGTAAGAAAGTGTCGCCATTCCATTGGATCGATTGTACCATTATCTAAAAGAATACGTGCGCAGACGAGAAAACTGAAGTGCATTTTATGTTTTTCGAATAAGCTGCGACAGACATTCGTGAAGAAAGCAAATGTGAGGTTCTCGTTGATGTTAGCAATTCGTTCGTTAATATTATCTGGAAAATTAAATCACTAAATTAATTACAAAATTAATTCTTTAAGTAATTAAATTAAGAGTCGCAATGTATCAAGCCTTTATAAATTTTTAAAATTTTAAATTTAAAAGCTGGTATTTGCAAATATTTATACTTACTAGTCGTAAGCTTTTTATAATAAATAAATAAATTTTACCTACCATTTATTTTGGTATTAGATATGCTCCTATTGAATATAACAACAAACCATTCTAAAGAGTATTGATACATGATATCGATACGTTGGAGATCGGCGATACAAAAGAACAATATTTGTGCCCGGTTTGCTACTGGCATATATAATGATCTTGTAAAATCAATGTCTGTTTGTGTAAGCTCAATAGTCTCCATCTTCATCTATAAAAAAAAATCTATTATATTGTTAAATAGCTTTTTTCTTTTCTTCTGACAAATATGTATACACGTATAATAAAATATACAATTTATAAATTAGAATACAAAATATATTTTGTATTCTATCAAAGAATACTGAGATCTTATTGTAATTAAATTAATATCACATATAAGAAAAAAGTAAACAAATCTATCATTCAAATTTAAGTTCATAACAATCGAATATTTTATATATATTTTACCTTGATTTCCTCACTCTTAGTTTTTAAAGTCTCCAAGATACAAATTAAATCAATATCATCAATTATTGATCCTTCAAATACCGTGAGTCTGTAAAGAATTTTGTCCTTGATCTCCTCCAGATCCTGTTTCATTTCAGCACTCGATACGATAAGTGCGTTCCTTTCGTATTCAAGATCAGGACGCTCCTTTATAGTAACCAGAGATAGCATTTGATCGGCAAGACCGCTATACGGTTACATACATAAAATTAGAATCAAATATCAGACTCAATATGTGCGAATTAATTGAATACGATTTTCTATTTTATTAAGTAAGAATCAGAAAAGAGATTAAGCCTATTTAATTTATCTTACTATATATGTTATATTTCAAAATTACAGATTGGTTATCAGTATTAGTCTTTGATATTAGTACAATTTTTTACTTATTACATTGATATAATACTAATAGTAAATTTTGTTGGATGAAAGTTTAAGAAAAAATGGTAAAGGAATGTTCAGAAAAGTTTATTTAGTCTTTGCTATCTCAGGAATAGTGTTGATTTAAATTTTCACTATTACCGTTAGATACGATTTGATAGTGACTTTACAATAAAAATATAATAATAATAATTTATAAAACTTTACATAATTTATAAAATTTACATATGTACGGAATTCTTTACGCAGACTTTTTCAGAAATTAAAATCTCACCCAGCAGTCAGCGTGAAATTGACTATCAGTACTTTTGTCGCTGTATCTGGTGTATAACGGGGATTAGATAATCTCGTAGTCAAGTAAAGACGGAAATCGAAATTGTAGGATACTATATTTTCGCCAATTTTGATGCTCGGCTGTCCAGCGTGACCGAACAATGCACGAGCGAGAATAGGATCTAGAAAAGCTTCCATTTCAGTACCGATGTTTTCTATCAAGCACGGTTTTCCGAATTGCACACAATTTTCAATAGTACGCAATAAATCTTTATCCGTCATTTTTGCAATGGAAAGTCCAATCGGTTTGCACTAAAATTGAAAATTCAATTAATTAAAAGAATAAACAAATTTTAATTGCTACATAAAAGCAATAATCACTAAAGAATTTAATATAACTAAAATTGTCTAATTCAATTTTCTAACACTTTAAAAATTTAATTCCTTACTTTAAAAAGGCAAACATAAATTCTTTAAGTTTTCAAAAATTTAGTCAAATAGCGTATTCAATCCTTTAATAATATACATAATATAATAAATTCTATCATGACACTTATTATGATCTAAACTTTTACGTACAAGAGAAATCTTTATAAAATGATATAAACAATATAAAATTTGATATATATTGAAATATATTTAAGAATTATTTTAAAATGTGTTTTTTTTAAATTTTGGACACTCTTCTTAAAGGTTTATATATATATATATATATGATAAATATCTTAACATTGCTTAAAATTAAACATAATTTAAAATTTAATTCAAAATTTTTTTCCCATAAAGTATATATACATATATGTATTAACTGTAATGCATGTATATAAAATAATATTCCACAAATTTTATAAATTTATGGCACACAAATTTTTGTATAATGAATATATTTATGTATTTTCAATATCATTATTGCTTTATCAGATGTAAAGGATAAATTTAATATATTCTGACAAAATCATCGCTTTATCAAATAAATTTATGTTTCATATAAATAAAATTACAAATATTCTGTTTAATCGAATTCTTGTTATAATAATAACTGCCATATATAAATTCTTTTGCTTTTATATTGTATACGTTATGACTATATATTTTATGCGGTGTAATTTCTCTTTTAAATTTTTATTTCACGCTTTATTCCAGCCTCTTGTCAACAGCTGCAGAAAATTTATGGAATATAAATTCTGCAAACAATGTGCAAATAAAAGGATTTTTACTTTTCTCTCTACGCAATACCTACCATATTACGTATCCATTTATTTGCTTGTGCCTGAGGGTCAATGAAGAGGGGCCATCGTTTGGAATTCATCACAAGAATTGCGTTCTCGATGAATAGGGTATCTTTTGGTAAACCATTCATATGCCAATTTCTTATTTCCATTTGATTGCCGAGTGTTAATATCGGATTGCACCCGGGAGTGTGAGGAACATCTTCACCAAGAGCATCGTACCAGGTTGCCAAGAGATTTTGGCGATAAGTGTCCGTGAAGGGTGTTAGGTATGCAATTGCACCTACAAGCAAGATGGAAGCTTCTACAGATACAAAGGAATTGTGTGAAATCAAACCTGTTCTACTACTGGAATAGACAAAGCTACTGCGGACACTCGATTAAGCTGCTACATGCGAAGCTTTGTCAATCTCATATGAATGGAACAGTAAACAATCGTCACCAATGAACCGTACGAAGATATTGTCTTATTTACAATCGGACTAAGATTAGAGAGAATCCATGAGAAATATATATTTAACACTACAAATAATATTTATCGAGATATAGATGTAAAAACTTAAATTATTATTATAAATTTAAAAAATCGCGTTATAATTAAAAATAAGTATGTTCATTAAAAATTAATTAAAATATTTTTATGAAAATGCTTTTATATCTCTGTTTTACGATTTTTATTTTTTTTTTGTTTATTTTTAACTGTTATCTTTAACTGTTATATATATTGTTTGTATTAGATATAAAAATATATGTATGTAAAACTTCGTTTATATATATGTATATATATATGTATATATGTATCTATACTATATATATACACTATATATACACACACATATATACATATCTAATAAATAATTACATAAAACTTACCACTAAAGTATACTTTAACTTTAAAAAATAATTTTATTTTAAGATTGTCAAAGGCATTGCGCTAATAGGCCGTGAACATCGCTAGCAGAATCAGATTATAGTCAATATTCTCTGTAAGAGGAAACCGCTTCAGATAGGAAATTGAATTTATCAAAATTGTCTATGACTTTTTTTATATAATAAAAAATTGCACCAGTTCTATTAAAGTACGTGAATTGTAGAATTTTAGAAGACGCTCAATGTACTGGTTTGGAAATTATTGTATGTAGCCACAGATTTTTTATATGTCGCTCAAAAAGAAGCAATTATCAGTAATGATATATTTCGACGATATGATTTTATGTTTTTCGTTTCTTTGATAGAAATTTATTATTTATTTTCAATTTAGCGTTATTTTATTAATGTATATATTATTACCAGACTGCTTTAATTATTTGTAATATTTGTTTGTTTACTGATTTGTATAATTAAAATGTAATTTTGGATTAAAATATAATCTGTTGTTAGATTAAATATTAAAAATTAAAGGTTGTTTATCATTGTGCAGTATGTACTGAAATTATTGAAAGGTTTTTGTTAGTTGTGCACAAATTATAAATTTGTAAATCATTTTATATAATAACCACTTTATGCAAAAAATTATCTTCAAAACTGACAGAATGGCATTCTTGCTTTTTATATGCAAACAAATGTAAATAATTTGAGTGAAGCAATCCTTAAATTTTACATACCTGATGATAAAAGAATATCACCGACAGCATTCTTTAAAGACATTTTTATATTATCTACCATAATAATCCATCGTTTTTGTTCATCCGACAGGCCTAGAATTAGTCTTACAGCTCGTGCTATTCGTTCTTGGCAAAGCTGCTTCTCTCTTTTTATTTCAACTTTCTTTGCTTCCTCTTCTCTCAATTGATCTTGCAATTTTTCAATTTCTTCCTGAATCTCTTGAAGTCTCGTTATAGTATCTGCCAGTGCTGTTTCGGTTTTAATGAGAACTTTCTCTGCTTTTTCCAAGGCTGCCATTTTGGGTGCGACTTTCTTATTTACGAAATAATAGTTGTACATAGCACGGATCCACAAACATAAAGAATGGCAAGCCCTCGAAACTTGAAGTATCTTTCGAATATACGATTTAATAATTACATTATTATTGTTATTTTAATACAAAAAATATGCAGTATTTACAATTTATATTACATTAATTTACATTTGTAACTGCAATATATTTATACTGCAATATTAAAAAATCTTTAAAAATACTACACAAATATATATACATATTTCCTACTATACAATTAAATGTTTACTTTATCTGGTTGAAAATTGGGATTTTCTACATAGTCTTTTAATTTATTGATAATTTCCTCCGTGATATCTTCCTTTTTGAAATGTGCCATTGTATATAAAAAATAAACTGGATCTGCTAGCATTTGAATTCCAGGAGTCCAATAATCCAATATTTTCTCACCGGGAAGTTTTCCAGGAAGCTAAGAATAATCATTCACTTTTTAAAACTTATTTATTATACTCAAAAATTATTACACTAAATTAAAAATCGTACTTTACAAATTCTTCATAAAAAGTTTATTAAAATTATGTCTAGAATTGAAATATTTTATTGAAGCAATAATAAAAAAGTACAAAATCGTTAAAATAATATATTGTTATATAAAATATGCATAAATAAATTGTAAAAATAATTAAAAACCAATGATTATTGTATTACAATTGTACGATTATATAATTACATAAATATTACAAACTAAAAAATATTACTCTGATATTTTGGATACTGCTTAATAGTTAATAATTATTACATAAAATATTTGCAAAATTGAGTATATCTCTGAGTAAACCTTGTTTGGTGCCACGTTATTTATAATACATATTGCTTCGATCACTAAGAGTACTCCCACTGGCGGTCTTTTCATCGCCTTTACTTCCGTAATGTTCCTCTTATTTAGTGCCTTTAAACTGGCTTCAGCAGCCTCGAGCATTGGCTTTACTTCACCTGTATACACGTATATGTAACTTATAGACAAACAAGCACAGTTAAGTTTCACATACAACAAAATTTTATTCAAAAACATATTCTCTTAAATATTATGCGTGCATTGAGAGATACGGTAGAGCATTTTGCGCCAAATATATTTTTCGTAAATACGTTCTTTTATGAGCGAAATGTTATTTATTATACGTAATATATTTTTTACAGGAAAAAGAGTACATATATATATTATATGTATATATATGTATTCTTTTCTATATATATTTGTGTATATAAAATATATAATTTATTTAAATATAGTTTAAAAATAAATAATATTTTTTAAACGTTACATATTTTTTAAATAATTGAAAAAAGTTGGACCATTTTTAAAAACATATATTTGTATTTTATGTGCTGTAACGTATAGAATATGCAAAATATATTAAATTTAATAGTAATAGTTTTGGTATTCACAAACACACACACAGGCACTGCTTTATTAAAGTTTAATTTTGATTTTTAAAATTAAACAAACTTTTCGTGGTTATATAAATCAATATAAAATTGTGTAAATCAATATATAATTCAATATACGTATATCCAAATTTTTACATTTTTATCTTAGTTTGTTAATATATAAAGTGAACTATATGTGCAAATTGATTACACAATGTACACGAGCGAATTTGTGTACATTTTTACATTTTCACGAATTTTATAAACTTCATGTTGTTTTAGTCGTAAAATTCTCTGTTGAAAAATTTTGACGTTTGAACTCTATATGAGGCGATATATTTTCCCGAAAGCGAAACTTTCAAAGTAAATAACATGCGATACTTTCTTTACGCAATATTCTGTCACAAGAATGTTATTTTCAATACATATATATGCATGTACATGCACGTCTGTTTTTAAAGCTTTAAATAACATTATTTTGAGAATACTGTTCTTTGGTAAGGAAACTGTGCTTTGTAAGGATAAAACATACTCAAATCTGCTTCCGCTTCATCTCTGATTTCTTTATTCTCTTCTTTCATTTTTAATATCGCTGCTTCTTGTTGCATAGCCATCACTTTGGTCTTTTCTGCTTCAATCTGCAAGAAGCATATTGTATGGTAATTGCATAAAGTGTAGTTTGGGAAAAACAAAGTATAAGTATCAAATACTGTACAAGCGAATAGTAAAGGTTTTTAGTGCACAATCGTCAATCATTAAATAATATTAACAGAATAAAGGAGTTATACGTAGAAGTAATAATTAATTAAATAGTTTTTCCCACAAATATATCTAAAATTATTAATTTACCACAGAAATTTCAGATCCACATTTTGGATAATAAGAAATGAAAACTTCTAATTCAGATTGATATACGGAGAAACGATTTAATATACAGGATGTCCGTCCTACCTATATAAGAGAACACCCCCTTATAAAAGGACTATCTCTTTTATATTTATAGAATAAAATCAAATAAAAAATAAGTTCATACAAAAGTTGTACGACCTGACGGGATACAAAATAATAACATTAATTTTCGGAAAAAGTTCGATTTTTTGTGGTCACATATAAAGGTCATGGATATTTTTTTCAATTTCTCATTAGAATAGAATCGTGAGATAAAGTAATTGTAATGTATAACATATATACATACACACACACATACATATATAATGTAAATATGTATCACAAATTAAAAGGAATATGCAAATAAATTTGTGAAAGGTTTGTATTATATATTACTTCGCTTTTTCAAGTTAAGAATACATACAATCTCGTAGTACGTTTATTTATTATCACCTTTTTTCTCATGAATAATGCTAATTTAATATAAGTTGTAAAAATGTGAAAGATTGTGATTATGCTTTATATGCAAATTATAAGGGCAAAAATTTTCTACCTAAAATAATGTATCTTTTGTTACACATTTATTGTTACAAAATATATTACTTAATGTGATAACTGAGTTCAAAATTACTGTATCTCTCTCTTTTTCTCTTTCTTTCATGAAATAGATTAGATTTTTATAAAACTCATATGTATAAATTTTAATAAACAAATTATTCTGTATGCTTTATTTTAAAAAATAATTGTTTATGCAACGATATTTTTTTCAAGGATAAAAGAGTCGGAATATTTTCATTTAATTATTCTCACTTCTAAATTGCGTATCTCATACTTTGTATTAGACATGTATTACCTTGGGATATGAATCTTAGAGAAAACCTCTCATTCTTTTAATTTTATTAAAATGTTACAAAATTTTATTTCAAACTCTTTGAATTAATTAAATTATAATAAAATTCTGAAGAAATAATCCTCACAAAGGCTTCGAATAATAATAATAATAATAATTTTATTATAACCTCCTTACAAAGCAATAATGTCATTATCATAAATCTCCTATAAAATTTTTTGTGAAGAGATTTGTAAGATATTCAAGAAGATTATAAAATTTAAATATACATTGAAAAGATTCCTTCTATAATTCAAGATTTCAGCCGATAAAACATACTAAAATAAATTATTTCTGTTGCGAAACTCTTTACTAATTTCTAAGTTATATCTTTCGTATAAGACATGAAATGAAGAAGTTTTTGTGTGATGAGGATTCAGAACTTTGACAAACTTTGAAATGCTTACTGTGTCTTGTGTAATCTCATGTATAATTCTTCCTGTAGTCTCTGTAGCTTGCTCTAACTCAAGCTTCATTCGTTTCAGTATCTCTTGTATGTCTTTCACTTCTGTTTCTGTATTCGCAAATTTATTTAGTCCTGTTCGAGAAAGATACGCGTTACAAAGACCAAATTGTATGCTGATTTATGTAAATTAGATGGAGTAATTAATTTGCATTATTGTAAACGAATTGGAATCTGTAAATTTTCATCATGGGCTCGTATAGTTTAAATAGATGCGTTCTCATTTCGTCGGGCTGCTAATCAATACAAAGTCTTCAAAGGGACGCAATTTTCTTTGTTCTTAGCAACTTAATATGTTTATATATATTTTTATAATAACATTGTAAATAAAATGTTTAATTAACTTATGGCTAAATACATGATATATAAAAGATAATTGTATCTATCTTCCACAATAAATACAAATATTGAATATAAATATTAAAATTTATATTTAGACAAAATTGAATTACTATAAAGAATATATTTAACACTGATTAAGATAGAATACTTTTTGGATGTATTACACTTGCAGAATCACTGTACATTGAAAATGTTAATAAATGTATATCGTAAGAATATTAAGAATCGAGACATTTCATTTCCTGCCTTTTAGCACGTGAATAACATTCACGACCGGCACACAGAGCAAATCGATATTCCGAATTTACCACGAATTACGAGCCACTGTCAGACAGTCGGCGTTAAATTTATAGACTGGAAAACTATCAGCGGTCATTTACCTTTGACCTATGAAATTTGTTATATTAAGATGTTATATTAAGATAATAAAATAAGAAATATATATTAAATAAAATGAGGATTTTTATTTTAACAATTTAACTTGATAATTTTAATTAGAGTCATATCGTGTAAGAATTTATGATAAAGTCATTCTAATATTTTCTAAATCTTTTTTTTAACCCTTTTATGTTATATAATGTTTTCTTTAACATAGCTTATAAATATTAGAAAATATTTCCAAATACATATTATCTAAGTATGTATTTCACATTTATTAATATAGTAAATAAATATATTTTATATTAATTTATTTTACATTAATTAATTAATTAATTTTATTCTTACTCACCAGTGGACAAACGTATCATTGAAGAATTTAATTCATCTTTCTTCTTTTTTAAAAGATCACCATAATTCGATAGCAGTTCTAAATATGATGCTGGGGTAACATAATTATGACGGTCCAGTTCCTAAGATGAATTATTTGTTACAACAATTGTAATTTCGTACGTTAGCAAAATATTAATATTGCATATTTACTTTTAAGAAGCGATCATTAGCGTCGATCACACTGCAGTGTATATACTTGCATATTTTTACGATAGACTGCAAAATATCATTCGAGATCGACTTGTCTTTGATATCCAACAGAAAATGTGTTGCTATGCTCTAAACAAAAATATATTGTACTTTTCAATAAGATTGAATTTGTTTATTATACGTTTCGTATAACTGTAATAATTTGCTATTAACCTTGAGAAATTACTACATTGGCGGATACATAAATTTATGTTAAACTTGTGTATTAAGGCATGTGCTGAGTGAGCTACAATTCAGGACAGCAAATTTTAGAAAGAATTTAATTTTAGTTGAGCATTGAAATAGTCTTGTTCATAGATAATTTAAAGTCATAAGATATAAACAAGATTTATAGTGTATAAGAAAAATTAAAATTGCTTTCTATTCTTATTATGGAAAATATACTTATTACTTTATCAATGTACGTAATTTTATTGTGCTTTTTGCTGTTTTTGTACTTCATATAAATAAATGATTTTTTAAAGATATCGCAAAAATTAATTTTTAAATTATAATCTAATAATATAACTCCTAAAAAAATTTACCCAGATGATATCACGTTTTGAAATGGCGCTCGAAATATTTTAGCCCATGAACGCAAAATGGATTAAATGCGGATTATATTTGTGCTTACATTTGGAAATTAATTTACTGAAAGAGATTTCCGGAGTAGATGGGAAGTGGAGTTCTGAATTCGTAATGTCACGAAATTACTAAGACTACGTTTCGTTATTCACTGCAAGTAAAAATCTATGGTATATATAATATATTGTGAACTATAAATTTTTAGTACTTGTAGTGAATAACGAAACCTAGTTTAAACGTTGCATGCTAAGGACCAATTTCATTACATTTATCATTAAAAGCACTTTTTCATCTTCTGATCCAATGTAACAATATGTGCAACTTGTACATAAAAAATAAATTTTTTAATTTACATTTAATAATATAATGAATAAAATCGGACTCTCAATATTTAAAATAATAATAATACATAAATTTCAAGGCTAACAAGAGTCGAACAGCGCGAAAGGAGTTGCGTACAGTTATTGATAAGTAAAAATTATTTCTTTATAACGTTAATGTCTTCTTTATTCAAAAATCTTGAACGTTTCGATTCGCTTTATAGTCATCCTCAGCAATATAACAATTTGATACCGTTCAACTCGGTTAAAAAAGTTAAGCGGTCCGTCCTGAATGAGTCACTCTCAGATTTCCAAAACTGGATTCTTGAACGGAGCACTCAATATAATTCAGAAATTTGGAAAAAATTTTGGATTTCCTTACTTTAATTTACTTTAATTTACTAATGACACGTGTCACGGACATTTATAACGAAGACAATTTCAATACGTCGGTGAGGTTCCGCATGTCAAATAATAAGACTTTATATATATAATAAGAAGAATCTACATGCATGTAATTGACATATTTAAAGTAGACATAATATTGTGATTTCTGTTTAAAGGTACTTACAATAAAAAAACTATTGGACATTTTTAATTATGTCACACTTTATTGTATTGTACAAACCTGAAGTGCGGCATCCGGCCAGGGGCAAAACCAATCAATAGTACAACAATTTACTAGTGCCGGGAATTGTCTGATGCGAGCGCGAAATGTATCTTCAATCGGGCTGAATATTGGAAATGTATTAAGCTAATTAGAAATTTATGGTAAAGAGAGTATGTAGATTAAATTTCTTTTATTTTATGCAGATTAAATCATAGATGTTTTATAATTAAGTTTTAGAATCAAATAGTAACATAAAAAAGTAAATTGTATTCTGTAAAAATTTATAAATTTAATGTTTCACAAACATTCTATAAATATTCTCATAATAAACAATAACTATTTAATTAATATGCTTTGAACTTAATTCAATTAATTTATTTACAATGTATAGTTTATTATACATATTCGACAGTGTTTCAGCAAATCTCCTTAAATAATTTGTTGCAGAAAATTTGTTAAATTCTTTAAGACTATATTTTATAGATGCTTATAGTTCAGCAAATCTTCTTGTACACAGATATACTGTGTTTAATTATTATAGTTTAATATGTAAATAATATGTTTCATATAATATATTATAATATTATAATATATATATATATATAAACTTATTAAGTAAAGTAAGATAAAAAGTCAAAATTTTATTTAAGAATTAAAAGATTGACAAATAATATCATTTTTTATAAAATTTCTTTTGCTTTAAAATATAAATATTAACAAAAAACATAAAAATATAGTTTAAAAAATAAATAATTTTGATGGAATTATTGATAGAAAGATCATAGAAGAAGGAGACACATTGAATGCAATATTATAGATTTGCGACAAAATTTTTACGAAATTGACAATTTCAATATTAATCAATCTCTCAATCGTGAACGACTTGCATATTCTATGAAAAATTGATTGATATCAAATGGAGTACTGTCTATGCAAAGAAATTAAGTTTGTCGATCAATAATCTATATTTTCTCATTGGCCTTTCTGTCATTTCCATATTTTATCTATCTACCAATATTGAACGACTTTATAATTACTGTTCCATTGTTGTCAGAGTAATTCCCTTCGATAATCCTCGATATATCATATTCTCAAGAGATTACATCTCTTTTGAATTAAACAACAATATAAACTTGTTGCATATAATCATATTAAGAATTACTATTTTTAATATTTATAATTTATAATTTAACAATGTATTAAAAATAATGAAAATATGATATTTTTACATTGTCTTATAAAAATAGCTTCTAAACTACTTTTAATTTATCGAATGAATTATTAAACGAATTTCAATTCTTTTTATATACTTTTTTTATATACTGAAAAATGCTCTATTTGCATAACTTTTAGTAATTTAAGTTTAAGAAGTGATTAAGGATTGTATAGGATACCACAAATGTCCTGACTTGGGACAGTGCAGGTAACTTGGGACAACATGTATTTTTGTTAAATTCAATCATGGAATTCATCAATGAGTCTCTAAAGGAAGTTTAAGTTTTAAATTGTTCCAAGTTACTTTCACTGTCCCGAGTCACCTACATTTACGGTATTTAATTTGTTAGAATCTGAATTCATTGGTCTCAAAGTTTCATCACTTTTAAGTGTTTATTTTAATGGAATTTAAAATATTTATAAGATACTTACGCAGACCAAATGCATAGATTGTAATGTAAAATTGTGTCAAATACGTATATTGATTCTTTAGCAAATAACACTCAATAAATTTTAACGGAAACTTATGCCAATATCATTTGCGCTATATTTATCACATTTCATCTGATGAGATTACTTTTACATGGCTTAACTTCATGACATATGTGACGCAAAATGAAATTAATGATTTCACGGATACTAAAAGCTCTGTGACATTCGATATATCAAAATCGTGTCTATTCGCCATAAACGTACAAATCTCGCCAGTGAATCTTTACGTGGGTTTATCATATCGTGACAAACAATATTTCTGCGTGACTCGAGTATTGCGTGTCTAGTATTTTATTAGAGCTATTGGTAAAAGTCAGGTTTTCCTGCTTTTAACATCGCATAAATCTCATTAATTTTCCAGAAATACTTTGTGATTATACAGCGATTATAATGATTTCATTTAAGTTATGTTACAAATTGATATAATTATAAATAAACACATAATTCTAATATAATCTATAAATATAATTATATCAATTTGCAACGTAACTTGAATAAATATATTAAAATGTCATTAACGAAATTTATAACAGACATTTTTCAGTAAAAATACCTCATCGTAATGACAGCGTGGAAATTGTTTTTTACTGCTTTCTGATAAACGGAGAAAAGGTTGCTTCTATTGATTTGTAATCCAGCCTCTTGTGCTGGTACTCGCATTGCTTGATATATTTGATCCACTTCATCAGTTTGATATATGTTCGGTACATCTCCATTATTTAAGATGTTGTTTAAATCCTCCAGCATCGAGTCATTCGTTACCTACAAGAACGTATAATTTTGTGGAATACCTCTGAGATACAGTTTAAATATGAAAACGGAGTTTCGTGTTTCAGTTGAGGAAACGCAGTTATCTATAAATAGTGAATACTGCAAGTAAATTATCTTCTTTTTTTTCTTTAAGAAATTTTTCATTAAGATTGTAAAATATTTCTTTAAGATGCATTTTAATATCAAATATATCCTTTTAACAAATGCAGTAGCATTTGTTCATAAAGTATATAAATTAAAATAAATGATAAGAGCACTTAGAAAGTTATACTTTTTCATTTAACTCCACATTTTCTGGTCTGCATTTTACATGCATGTCAGAAAATAAAAAGACAATAGGTTGATCTTGCAATCCTGCTTTTAGCATTATGTTTTTGATGTCGTCTCGCCAGTCGTGAGTTGTATAAGCTTTACTGATTCCAATCTGGTAACAATTGTATTCCTTGATATGCGATGAAAGCTTTGTCAAGCTTCGACGTCCTAATAAGAACAAAAATGTATTTTGTTCCGTATTTCCAGCGGATACAATATAAGTTCTTAAACGGAGGGATGAAGACGCATATATATACATATACATAGATTGTAAAGATATTATTAATTATAAAACATTTTAATATTTTAATCTTAAATAATTACAGCGTACCTGATCCACTTATTCCAAGCAGTAAGGCATTTCCTCCAGGTTGTCTAAGTATTCGTGTGATTCTACAAATATGATTTATTGCATCTTCAAAAAATATTAATTGCATCGGTGATGTCGTTAAATCATTATAACTGTCTAAATAATCAAGTAGAATATTTCTCATCTATAAAACATATAAAAAGGATTAATATATGTAAAGCAAAATTTTTACAATTATATTTATAAACGTTACAGTCATTTATAAAAGAAGTGTTATAAGGTATGCAAAAAATCTAAATTTTAAATTAAATTTGCATTTTAAATCATAAGTGTTATAATGTCCAACGACAACAATTGCACATACAAATTTAAAAATATCAATTATTAAATTTTACATTAATTGTTTATTATTATTTATTGCTAGACTTATTTATTATTAAATATTGTTGCAAATTGTTAACTGTTAGTGATCACTTACAAGATATTACTTGCAAATTATTATGTTATATTAAATACTAGGTATGTGTTAAGTTATGCGTTAATTTAAATAAAAATAAATTACTTTTTCGATGTCTATTATCTCTTCATAGTTTCCTACTGTATTACAAAAATCGTTATAAAATAATGGTTTCTTTCCGATAATATCGTCCACGTTATAATGGAATTTTTTCATCAATATGTCGCATAAGAGCTGATCAAACCATTTTTTATCATCGTCATTTATAAAGCGATCGCTGAAGACTCGAATATTTTCATGATACCAAAGTAATAATAATTTTTCGCGAACCTGTATGATGTAAAAAATATTAATCAAATGTGACACAAACATTATTTAATATATAAAGCAATTTCTATAGAAATTAATGAATTGCATAAGAATGAGAAAGACAAATGTCGATTTTCGATAGATATAATTCCACGTAATATATAAATAGATATAATTCCAAGTAACACATATTTTTGATAATAAAACACACGCAAAGCATTTAATTTTACGCTAATAGTATGAATAAAACACTATATAAATCCGATTAAAATAATCTCTCTTTTCTAGAGAATTGCAAGCAACGTTTATCGATTTATACGTAGAGTGACCTGCTTTGTCATGTATGAAGCTACTCGAGCAATTGTTATTTTCTTCACTTATTGTCAAACAGATTTACCGTTTTTTACGTCAATTAAACAATAACGATATATGTTGAACGATGCTCATTCAATGCCAAAACCGCAATGCGTGAGTTAGAGCCGAAGGTTTGTCTGACCATACACGTACTTTAACCACTTGAACATATATTCTGTTATATAGTTCTTTTCATAATACATAAAAATCCATTATTATCGACAAGTGCGTTATTATCAGATTACTTTTTATTTTTAAATAAAATACAATTAATTTTTAACTTAGAAATATTAAAAAATTACTTATTATACAGAATTCTATTTTCGGTTGAAACGCATTTTGGTACTTTAATATTCATATCCTTTGCAACTACATTTTTCTTTTCTGTAAAATATGCGCCAATTTGTTGGATATATTATATAAACATAAATATATATACAATATACACTGCAAAAAATTGTAATTTATAATATTATTTCCAACTTCAGTTTATGATTGCATTTTAAGTCTGACAAACAACATAGTTTACAGAACGGAAAAATGTATTTGCAAATTTGCATATAAATATTAAACACTATGAGATCCGCTTTGAATGAAAATAAGATTAATTTTATTATTTGATTTATTTTTACGTAATTTTCATTCGTAATAAAAAAATATACTAACTAAAATTTTTTTTGCATCTGCCATAAGAATGCCTTGGAACACTTTGTTCACATCGCGAAGATTAAAGGTGTAGTGCGATTTATTGGGAGTTGGCAACATTTCGCTGCGTATAACTGCGAAAACTTTTAAAGTGGAGTCCACTATGTCATCCAGTAGATCATAAAATTCTGGTATGCTTGACATCCATGAGTCAAGAATTGTTTTAAAAATATGCGACTGTAAATTAAATATGTAATTAGTTAGATCCATAAGTTTGTATGTTGAATATATTATTATGAAGATACGTACATACACAGATTTAATATTTAGCTTTAATAAAGAATAACCTTTTTTCGTTGGATGTATTTCTTGAATAATTAAAATTGGTTTTTATAGTGTGCTTTATACATTCATTTTTTAAATTATAACGCAATTCTTAGTTTAAATTTACTTTAATACAATTTAATTAAGTAAATAAAGGGGTATAAAAATATTTAGATTGATTTTGAAAATTAAAGAGATAGTTGAGAAGAGATTTTCTAATAAAAGATTAACTTTAATATTGAATTTTAATTCAGAGTTTATAGAAAAAAATCTGGAATGGGGACAGTCTATAACGCAATCAACGTGCCAATCACACGCTTATATTAAAAAATGTTACTTCCCAAATTTTATTTAAAATTTATACGTCGTTTAAATTTATTGCATATAACGTTGATAATAACGTTACTCTTGATTCAATATTTAATTAATTAACGTTAGATGACATTGAAATTTATAAGAGCCGAGAAAATCATCTGCAGAAAGTATAAATGTGTTTGGCATGAATATTTAATCAGCGATACTTAAATTCAGACCCGCCTCGTCGACCTTGGTCGAAACGTGCACAGAAGGTCTCGTGGGAGTGCGGAGTCGACGGGGTTCATTATGGACCCCATTATATCAACCGGGCAGGTGATTATGATAAATTATGGTCGGTATGGTCTCGATTTATGACATCTAATTGCGACGAACATGAAGGAATGGGGTAAACAATGTGAACTACGGTGCCACAGAGTTCCGTCTTTTCTACAAGTCGCGATTATACGCGACTGGGTGTGGATGTCAATTTGATGGAAGAAAACCTGACGACGTAGTGGAAGGAAACATACGCGTCAAGTATGTGCAGTTCCGGACGTAACAAGATACGTCATCGGAAATTTTCTTATATCGAACTCCTTATATACAAGTGACATGATGACTGAAATTATTGAGTTGGATTTTGTTAAATATTATGGAATACAATTTTCTAATTATCATGTCGTTTGTATACTTTTCCCGTGTATAAAATGTCGTTGACAGCTTTGCTTTATTAATAATATAATTTTCAGTTATGAGTTTCTCTTTCACTCTTGAATGAAATATTCCTTCAATAAGAATATCAATTGTTATAGTATTCTTTAACATACAATGTTGTAAAATAATTAAATCTTAAATTTTATTATATATACATTAAAGTTTTATATTCTGACTAAATGATATATTTTATCCTGTGATTTAAAAAAAATTTTTATTTCTAACGACTAACTCTTAGACTCGTAGCCCTTTTTCTTTCATTTTTTAAAATTTTATTGAGCCTTATTACTATTATATTTTTATATATACGTATTTAATATAAATTTTAAATCGACATTTTGAATTTAGAGATTTTTCTTTCTCTTTCCCTCTTTTTTTATGCTTATAAACATATTATTTCTATATATTTTTTTACATTTTTATGCGCAGATTTATATTTTTTATACTCAACACGAATGTAAAATCACGAAATTATGTGATATAGAATTCTTTTACTTTTTATTTGAAATCTTATACAATATTTGAAATTTCGCGTAGAAATTTCATCCAATCAAGTAATCTCGTTTTTTACTCTAAAAGTACGATTTTAGTGAAATGTTACATTTTTATTTCTTGATAATAAAAATAACATAACCGATCTTTCTTGGATAATTGTCGATAAATATAAGCAATTAGCGTTAACATTAACGTGTAGTTTTACACATACTATGCAAACTCACTTTCGCATCGTCCTGCATCTCTGGAAATGCAATAATATGGAAATGCCGTAAAAGTCTAGCTGTTATTGGGTTTCTTCCACCTCCGGGAGGTCCCATAGCTGCGACGAAATTCACGTTCTCGATCAGCCTGAAGGATCCGATCTTCCTTTTGTCATACCACCCTAGAGAAAATCTATCTCTCAACTTAAATTTTTTGATTGCTAATTATGGGTTATATTTTGTTGCATCGGATAAGCAAGGTATTATTTTTTGTTTAATTAAGTTTCCTTTTTGAAGGAAAACATTAATAAGAGAGATAAAGATCCTGAAAATTTCTTAATTTATTGAAACTTTACTCAGTAATCAGATAATAAGATAATCGGATAACAATATTATTAACAATTTTTTATGGAAAATTTCACAATTATATAATTTGTTCCATTATGGATAAAATATATTAATATTTCCCCATGGACACATATGTGGGAGATGCATATGTCCATATTATTGGATTTCACCCACGTAGGAGATCGATTCTAATGGCATGAGTGCCTTGGGGAGTATTACGTTTGTAGAAACTGGTTATTAAAATTTGTTGAATTCTTATTGCGTCATACGTACCAGAGGTAAGTATTTCATAACGCTATAGGAATTATTATATTATTTTTCTTGAGCTATTAAACTTTTTTCTGTTTTCCGAAATGCGTACTCTACAAAAACGTCATTACTCTAAAAAAAAGTCATTACGACAACTCCATACATTAGGACGTATTATTTTTTGAAAAATATTAATTTCCTTGTAAGTAAAATTATTCAATTATCTCAAGAGTTTTACAAGATCAGGAGTTTCCATTAATTTAAGAATTAATTTTACCTTTGACATACAATCTAACTGTGAAGAAACCATTTAAATAGAGATTTTAATGAAGAGGGAAATACGGAATAAGATTTCAAATCACTTAAATAAAAAATATTGAGCTATGTTACAACGTGAAAATGAAAAGTTCTTTTATCGATCCTTATTATCCGTCTATTGTACAATTTACGAGATATAAAATTTATATTCATTTATATAAAATATTAATACAATAGAGAACGCCATTAGTGGTCAAAGTTAGATGTTTCGAATAATACAATATACAGTACTAGACAAAATAAACTACACACTCCCAACATTTTCACATTTATGTAAATAACTCGCCAGTCCTCACAGATAGCATAATGATGAATGAGATAAAAGAAAAGTATTTTAGTCTACTTTGCAATAATGATTACAAAAATTTCAAAAACAATTCGAAAATCTTTAATAGTCAAGTCCGTTATATTATTATCAAATTTATCATGGACAAAATAAAGTACGTACAACATTGTTTATGAAAATAATATAATAATTGGCGCTGTTGATGATGAAAGATACATAAACGTAACAATGAAGGATATATAAACAAATGAATAAAGCAGGTTTGTTAGTTAATAATATTGCTAGATAGAGTATAGTAAGAATTCTTCATCAGTGAACATGGAAACCAAGCAAATTCGAAAATTGATAATTCAGGATTGTCAGAAGGGGCTTTCTAATAGAGAAATCGGTCGCAAGTACAATGTAAATGAAGGCGCAGTCCGAAAGATATGGAAAAAATTCCAGGAGCTTGGTACAGTAGCGGATAAGACAGGACGTGGACGGAAGAGAAAGACAAATCCAATCGAAGACCGCAGAATCATACGGGAAGTAAAGAAAAATTCAACTGTTACTAGTCGTATTATCCGAGAAAACCTACAATTAAATATTTCCGAACGAATGGTGCGGAGGAGACTTCAAGAAGTTGGACTTAGAAAGTTTTGCAGTGCGTCGTCTTTTGATTTGGAAGGCCAATAAAATCAAACGTCTGGAATTTGCAAAAAAATACGTTAACAAGTCAGTGGATTTCTGGAAAAAGGTCCTTTGGAGTGACGAAAGCAAATTTGAACTTTGCGGTCATAAACAGTGACCACGGATCTGGTCAAAGCCTAGCGAAAAACTTATCGACAAAAATATCCAAAAAACACTCAAACATGGAGGAGGCAGCATAACAATGTGGGAATGTTTTGCATGGTCTGGTTTGGGAAATCTAATCAAAATCGACGGTATAATGACAGCAGATGTATACATTGATATTCTCAATGAAAATTTAGAAAAGTCTCTGCTAAAGGTTGGTCTGGAGAACAACTTCATTTTTCAACAAGATAATGATCCCAAACATACCGCTCGTAAAACTACCGCTTTTTTTCGTACTTCTGGGATCAAACTGCTCGATTGGCCAGCGCAATCGCCAGATATGAATCCGATTGAAAATTTGTGGTCAATTTTGGACCTAAAGCTTGATAAAGGGGAAGTAACGAATCAAATTAAGTTGTTGGAAGCATTGATGAAAGCATGGAAAAATATTGATCAGCAACACATTCAAAACCTTGTCGAAAGTATGCCTCGACGTTTGCAAGCCGTCATACAAGCAAAAGGTGGCCATACAAAATATTAATTATAAACTTTGTCTTTATTACACTTTTTTTTTCACTTGCGTACTTTATTTTGTCCATGATAAATTTGATAATAAATTTAACGGACTTGACTTAAAGGATTTCGAATTGTTTTTGAAATTTTTGTAATCATTATTGCAAAGTAGACTAAAATACCTTTCTTTTACCTCATTCATCATTATCTGCCAGGACTGGCGAGTTATTTACATAAATGTGAAAATGTTTGGAATGCGTACTTTATTTTGTCTAGTACTGTATATTTTTTATTAAATTAATCTATTTCAGATATAATAGCGCACCAAAATTTTCAGACTTTCAACACAATCAGTTTGAAATGCTAATAATTCCTCTTAAATTAAATTAGAAAAACTGTAAAGAACTTATTACAATATACAAAATATTGTTAATTTTTCTTTCCGATCAAAAGCTGAATAATTTTTAATATTTCCTGTATATTTTTTATAGATATATTTGCAACTACATACAATTTAAGAAATAGACTACATATTAAAATTAAGCACAAGTGTAACTAAAATATATACATATTTATTACAATTTTATAAAAATTCTATATAAATTTATTACAAGCAAATATATTTGCGATCATCATACGTGTCTAATCACTTTTAATTTAATTCTTGTGCTATTTCCTCATGTATATTCATTCATCATATTTATTTATTACGTATTAAATGATTCATGTATCAACTCAATTAATTGAATACGTTATTATAACGTTGTTAATTTCTCTTACCGTTAAAATTCATGAATTGGCGAATTAATTCAATCGGTGGTTGAGCGCCACACGTATCTAATGCCGGCATATTCAAGTCGTCGATGAAGAAAACTTGCTTTTTCAGGATAGGCGGCCCGTAGATACCTCTGCGTCGCTTGTCTAATTTCGTGTCAATTAAATCCTGCAAGAAATTAGGCACTAATCTCATTTCCTGTTCGAGAAATACGTAATTTGCTCTCTTGCTGTACCTGTGTTTGATGCGCCGTGGTTCTTGCCGAGAACGTCATAAAATCGCAAATGTATTTCTTTGGCATGTTACGTGACAGTTTCACTGACACCGTCAGAGTTTTGCCGCTTCCGGTTGCACCCACGCAAAGTATATTTGTCTCATTAGTGAGGAGATATTCGATTAATGCTGCGCTTCGTACGCTGTCCGTAGTTGGAATTATGATGTCTGTAAAATATGATATCTCTGTAAATTATGATATCTCTATTAGTTTAAAAAAATTAACAGTACATAATCTATTTTAAAAAATTAACAATATACATAATCGAATTTAATCTAATGTATGGTAATTTTTAGAACGTATTCAAAATAGATTAAATTTGATATGTTCATTTTTTTACCCAATGCTGTGTTCATTTTTTTACCTAATCTACGTACAAAATGGATAAAGGAAGTAAACAATAATTTGTTCTTCCATTTATTTAGAGATAAAAGAATAAATAATTAATCGGAATCAAATGTGACTCCACGACTTTAATTGCGCTTGGAAAGCGTGCTTATCGGTACTATTATCATTCTATTTTTATTACTCATTAGAACATAAAACAAAGAATAATGTAATAGTGTTAATAGTATAATATGCTCCCTGCAAACACAGCCGAAGCTATAGAATCACACCTGACCTTAATGTTATTATTAGACGGTTATACCTATATGGAAATTGTATTAAAAAGATATGAAACAAAATAAATACAATGGTTGCAAAAGGCAAGATATAATATTTCTATATTATATTTCTATATAATATTTATTGATGTTGCATTGATAAATTTTTGTGTTAAATAGACAGAAAAATATATACAACATTCCAGACTTCGTACAAATTAATGTTTCCTTATCAATAGTTGTTCTTTATCAATAACTTTTTTTATTAATAAAATTTGTAATCGACTTTTTGACAGAACATATAACTAATTAGCTCGTTAAATTTATAATAATTAAGAACAAACAGACACAGAAAAGTGAACATCCTCTTATACTTAAAATTAAAATCTGTTCTTTTTAATCAAGAACTTTTTAAAATATATTTGTGCTTTATTTGTCCATTACTTAGTTTTACATATTTTTATTAAATTTAAAATTAAAATTCTTTCAAACTTAATAATAAATTAAAATAAAGCTTTATTATCTATTTGCATTATTAAAGAAAATATAGATACACATTCTCTGTATATTTTATCTTTTAACATTTACGAGATTCTCTTTGCTGCTTATTCGTTATTCATTATTATATCGAATAATTAACGAGCTAATTAGTTACATGTTTTGTCAAGAAATAAGAAGAGTTGTATTTATATCTATAAATATAGAATATTTAACTTTTTGCTCAAACGTTTTCTTGTAAAATAGTTGTTATAATTTACCCATGTATTTTATTTTTGGCTTTACTGTGATAGATAAAACTCCGTCCAACCACTTGTACCACTTTGGTGGAATTGGCTCCTGACCCTCGATTGGATCAGTGAATCCATCGTGTAACCTGTAAAAGTAATAGAATAGTATATTCTATTACTTTTATATATACAGTCACGTTTAGTTTACTTTACAAGCATGTATAAAGGATTAAATTCTTTGTTAACTCGCATTATTCACACAAAAAATTATAAATAAAAGTGTAAATAAAAGCGTTTTATTTTTGTAAAAAGGAAAAATATTTTTTGTTAATAAAAATAAGAGTTCATCTGATATATTTACACGTGATATTTCACATACGAGTGTATTAACAATCGTTTACAAATTTTTATAATATTAAATGTATTATAAAATGATATAACTTTAATCGGTATTTACTTCGAAATTTCCTTAATTGGTGTGTGTATTTGTGAATCCAATATATTTTAATTTAATGTATCTTTATTTAAAGTTAACATAATTAAATGATTTTTAAAATTTTGAAAGTCAAAATCTGATGTAAAAGATCATGTAAATTAAAATTATGCAAGGCTCTAAAAAATACGTATTATAAATAATTTTTTACAATGTAATTGAAGAAAAAGAACCTGCAAATATTGATTAGTAAAAATAATGTTTAATTTTTCTATAAAGATCAACATTTTAATCGTTATTCCTTCCTAATAAATTTTCCTTTCTCTTTCTTAAAATATTAAGTATAAATATCGCCTCGGTTTAGATGAGAGGTCATAATGATTTGGTCGTTCGACGTTACTTAACAATTATTAAAGTTTCAATATAAAAATCTAAAATATTTTTACATAATATATGTATGATTGAAGAGGAATTGTGGACTCGATGGTGAAACATGTATTAACGAATACGTGGTGAGCATATTAAAAATCATTATTAACAGAACGCGAGTTTATAAAAATTAATTGATATAATTCTTGATTATTAACGTTTTTTCGGTATTTTTATGTTTTTTGTTTCTTTTTTCTTTTTTTTTTGGTTCATTCAATAATCTACAATAGCATCAGGCAATCACGTAGTCGACGGATATAAAATCTTTAATAGAACGTCATAGTATAAATCGTTCTGCAACTGTAATGTTTCTTCGCTGCATACATACGACTGCGAATTCTTAATTTGTTATATTGTATCTTTTTATTAAAAAATTGTTTAAAGAGTTTAGTGATCATGTAATGAAATTTTCTTCTGTTGTGTATTCGGATTACGTGCATGTTTCAATTTCAATTTGTAATACGAAAATTCATTGTACTGAAGATGGTCACATGGTTGACCGAAACGTTTATTTTGTTTATTTGAAATACATGTTTTAAGCTAAATAAATCAAGCTGTTGTGGCTGTATGCTCTTTATCGTTTACAATTTTTTAATTTAAGCCACTTATTTATCTTATCTATTTTAATCGTTATTATTTTCTGTCTTTAGATTTTCTTCTTTATCTTTCTCTTTCTTGTAAAAAATCTATCTGTGATTTAACATATTCTCTCTCTCTCTCTCTCTCTCTCTCCCCCCCTCTCTCTCTCTTGTATATAAACTAAATTCTAAATAAATAATTTTATAAAAAATTAATATAAAAATAAATTTTGTTTTTTTAATCTACTTATATATTCCTTATTTCTCATTCTAAATTTATACCTGTAATCAAATACGAGACCTTCTTCTGGAAATGGTATTTTATGCTTGGCATCCTTTTGTACTCTTCTCAACCAATCATTAAATATGCAGCGGCTTTTGTAATCGCAAGTTGCTCCTAATCCCCAAACAGTGGCGAAAGCTGCCCATGGTGACAGCAAATCCGCTGTGTAATATAAACTTTGTAATATTGTTTTTAGTAATTTTGTACAATAAATATAATATTGAACCTTTAAAAATGATAAACATTTGCTAATTATCCTCATTCTCTAATGGCAATAATTTGAGACATGATTAATGTATTAATCATATTGTTTTTAGTATTAATTTAAAAGTTTTCTAAAGCGAAATCTCCACACAGATTCGATCTTTGATTCAGACTTTGATGTACATATATTACAAGTTGTTAATGAATAGAAGCCGATAGTACTTACAATAATACGTAGTCAGGTTTATTGAACTTAACTTGACTTTGCCATGGACATGCGGTAATTGCACATTCTAAAGCACTAAAGCGGCTTAAAGCACTACTCTGAACTTGTTATTTGTGGTAAGCTTAATCTTTAACGTTACTCATATACAATATACAGTTACAATCGCATATTGCTTACGTATAATATTTTGGAAAGCTAAACTCGGTGGTGCTTTTTCTTCACGTCCGACCATCGGTCTAATTCTGAAGTTCATTAGATTTATATAAGATTGAACAACAGCGGAATCTACAGTTCTTACGATCTCTTGTAAACTCTCGCGTACAATTTTCAGACCGGGAAGCACCAATTGAGTTGTTAACACAGTTATTTCTTCGATGTAATCGTTCATCGCCTACAGAAACAACTTTTCCAGCTTAGTTTTACGTAACTGCATTTTATAATTAATTTTGAAATAATACGTATAATTACATTATACTAAAAAAATATACAAAATTCTATTTATTTATTACTAACTGAAGTCAATTGACTTGAAAACTTGAAAACATTAAAATTGTAAATATTATTAAAAATTAATTTAAAATATTAAACTAAAAAGTTTAATTTATACAATTTATTTTAGCGATTCAGAGTCCATCATTAATATAAATCTTTATAGAAGAAAAGATATATTTAAAAACAAATACATAATTAAAATTTTAATTAAATAATATTTGTTAAAATAAGAGCTAATATTCTTTCCTTTATTTTCTATTATATACTTTCTATTATATATCTTATTGCTATATATTTAAATACTATAAAAAATAATTTTGTAAGAAAATATTGATTTACCATTGGTAATGATCGTATCCAGCAATCGATCAAAGGTTGCAAGCCTACAGTTTCTGGTTCCATATACACCATACCACATCTATAATAATATATGTATACATCGTAATCAATGTATCAGACAGTAATTACTTTAATTAAAATAAGGAACATGTTTTATTTATTATCCCTGAGCAAGTTTGCCATTATGTGCATTATGTATTATTTTAATTTATATAATTACTTACTGTAAATTAAAAAATAGTAATGTATTTTTCATGTTGTGTTATTTAATATCCTTGATCACGTTGCTATTACGTACATTACATATATGTGTATATATTTTAATTTATATTTGTAATTATTTATTTATCAATTAAATATTTTATTAATAATTTTGTAATTAATGGCTATTGTGTTTTGTTAGATTTTCTTTGTCAGATAATTTCTTTAGTGTGTACTCATTAGTAATCATGATTAAGATATACTCAAATCACATAAAACGCAAAAGTTTTGCATAATTCTTCACGTCTCTATTAATAATTATAAGTTTTATTTACTGTCAATTTGAATTAAAACAGACAAATTTAATAGAAAGAAAATCATATTCTGAATATTTCAAAAATAAAAATTTTTGTGCCGTTTTCAATAATATACATTTCAACGATTAACGATATAAAAAAGTTAAAAAGAGGAAGATTGGATTTGCAGTTCAATATGTATATTAATATTATTCATTCTTCTGCAACTGTTAAGAAGCTATTTAAAGTTTATAACATTTTTTCATTACCTTGAAACTGTAGCCGGTGAGGCTACTCGAAGATCTGATACTTCAAACATTATGGTTTGAGTTGGTAGTAGCTTCATTATTTCCCCCGATGCGAGACAAAGCTTTTTATTATCATCCAGGACAGTATTCAAATTCTCAATCCATACTGCATCGACTGGTCCATCAAAAATATACCATCGTTTATCGCAATCTGCCGTTGCTATATCCGTTCGTATTAAAGTTGGTAATATTCCATCTGTCCTACAAATCGGACGTGTGCATTCAATATCCTGAATTTCGTGTCTATTTTGAAGATTTTCTGGTTTTATCGGTATTACATAAAATTTCATACGTCCTATTAGTAACTAAATAGGTCATTATATAAATATGTTTATATATTAACCAATTATATGCTAATTCAATTGTATAACAATCCAAGAGAATTTATTATAATGAATATAAATATATAAATATATAATATATATAAATGTATTTTTTAACAAATATTTTATTAAGTTTAGCACATAAAAAAAATTATTTACAATAAAATTAAAAAATAGATCTAATTATATCCTGCAAACTCTACGATCTCGCGAACTTTACGGAAAAGTTTCAATGAAATAATTTTTTTCATTATAAAGCAAACGAAAACCGAAGCTCTTACTGATGACCGATTGACGACCAGGCTATATAATCTCGATAATATCCCTTTTTTGTCCCCTCTTTCCTTTTTATTATTCTCTTTTGTTACAAATAAATATAATGGAAAAAGTTTTATTTAAATGAATCTTTTTTCAAAGAAATTAAATAAAAGTCAGGTAAAAAATAAAGAAAAGTATTTAGAAAGAAACTTTATATAAAATTTATCGATTTCTCATCAATGCGAAATTTGTAATTGTAATGTTTTAATAAAATAAATTTTGTTTTAAATGAAAAATGTTTTTAATCTCTTGTTACATATCTCAAAAATTGTTCAAGTTTAAAAGCTTGCATTTATAATTTTAGCACATAATGCAGAGGAGCATGTATTTAACAATAAATTTAAATTAAAGTTTTGTAATTTTAAAATTTTACTCTTTAATATATATATATATATAATATCGGGCGATGTTATTTACCATTCATGTGTATCGAGATCGTACTCGCCATACAGTTGTCTCATTGTTATAGCCTTCGGATTCAATGCATACGTGATAACTGTTGTAAACGGCTTGCCATTTGGTTGCAATTGACCTTTCAAACTTGTACATGTGTGCTTTAGGACTTTGTAACACTGAAAAAATTCAGATATTATTTAATTACTATTTCTATTAAAACCTGTATTTTTATTTTATATATAAAACAGCAAAATAAAAAAATTTTTATTTTATTTAATACAACCAAAAAGGCTTTATCAACGTGTTCTTGTTTCTTTGTTAATATCAGTCAGTAATGTGTCAAACTAGAGCTGTAAACCGAAAGCGTTTATCGCAACAAATGTCTGTGCGCATCAACGCTGTACGTAGAACGCTATTCAGAAATAGAAACGCTCAGTGCACAGTAAATTGCAAAATAGTTTGTACTACGTTTGTCATGCCATATTCGAAATTTAGTTTGGGTTGTGTGCAAAGTTTGTTTTCGAGTTATATCCGTTTCTACATTGCACTGTTAATCCTATTGTTCAGTAAGTCAAATAATACATAATATTATATTATCCTATTTCTCAAAACTAATCAAATATAGATTGCATAAATATTTTATCGTAGCAAATCTTAATTTAAGACAACTTTTGTGATAATAATAGGTGGTATAAAATGATATTTTCTTTTTTATACAAATATTAATTTAATAACTGTCAATATTTTCATTATATAACATATAATATAACTTATTAAACAAATGTAGTTCGTAGCGAGTGCAGAAGCTAGCAAACTGTTATTGCTCAACAGCGTAGCACTAAAATTACATTACTAACGAAGCCATCGAAAACTAACGTAGTAAGGCTTGTAGATGATATTGCATAGATGATTAAGATTGTTTAAATAAAAATATACATACGTTAAACAAATATATTAATTCAAATGTTATTTTTTAGAGTCAAACAATATTAAAATAAATAATATAGTTTTATATTTTTCTCAATAATACATTATAATATTTGATTCTTAAAATTTCTATACAAACCCAACAAAAAAATTATATCCAATAGAATTTAAATGTAAGACGTTGCTTTTCTTCGTAGATTCAAAAATCGGAGTTGTTATGTTCGTTACGTCGGAAATAAAATTAATATTAATTTGTATGTACAAATTTTATTTTCGGCTTAGGATTAGTCGATAAAATCGAAATGATATATTTATGTGTCCTTTTTTCTTTCTAGAAGAATGTCTGATAATCATTGAAGATCTTTCATTTATTACAGAAAGTTAACCTGATGTTCTCAGCAAAATGGATTTAATGCAGTTCGCATTATCGATTATCAAGTTTATGAAAAAGCTGAGCATTTACTAATGTTTGCTAATGTAATAACGGTAATCAATAACTCATGCATAATTAAACATATTCAACATTTGATAGATATTATGCGTTCATATAGAAATTATTGGAAATGTAGAAGATAAATCTATTATAGTAAGAGATTTGTGTCAGATGAAAAGAACGGTTTTGCTAAAATACTTAAAAAAATTAGCTAAATAAGATAGATCTGCAGACAATAATTTTATTCGACCATCAAAATAATTGTGTAGAATGCTGAAGTTAATCGTTAAAATGTCAAAACTCTTTGCAAAATTACTCATGCTTGAATACGCTGCATAATTATTTTAATAATCTCACAAAAGTATTTTGGATCTATATCTAGCTAAAATTTAAATACTTCAGCAAAACTGTTAGATCTTTCCGTGTAGTTCCATAAAAAATGTAATAATTTAATTCCAGTTTCTATATTGTACCCAATATCTAATTTTGAAAAATCATATCATGAAGAACCAGCATTTTTTGCATAAAAAAATTTTAATATTAAATATTTAGCTTTAAATCGAACGAAATTGCGAAACAAAATTCTGTTAAATTAAAATTGATGTATCATTTACTAAAATATACTTATATTCCCAAAATTCTGTGAAATATCGTCGATTTGTAATATAAAAACCTATTGAAGCTTTTAGCAAACCTGTTTGATAAAACCCGCCTGTCATTAAACAAAAAATTTATTCAAATAGGTCATTTTTAATACTTCTCCTAATATAGGGACGTGCAATAGAGACGCCAGAAAATTTCACGTAGATGATGACGAGGAATCTTTTACGACTCAAAAAAACTCAATTTATCTCTAATCGAAATTCAAATGAGATGCTTTTCACGTAGAACTTATAACAGTATTTTTTTCATATATCAATATTAAAATATTTTTTGTAATTTTTTTTTATAATTTTTGCTCATCAAAAATTTAATTATATATTTTCGTTTATGCGAAGATATTGAAGATTCTTTAAATCACAGTGCCACGATGGTTTCCGATTTTATCTAAAATTAAATACGTATAAAGTACGAATCCTTTTCTCTTGTTATTATTTTATGGAAATCGTGAGACGTGTAATAGTGCGAAACCCAACGACGCTGGCGACGTCGATGTTAGCGGCGTCCGTCGAGACGCCGGCAGGATCTCTATAAAGCGCATGCGGCGAAACTTTTTGGCTGGCACAGATGCGTTCGTAGAGTGGTCCGCTCCCCCAGTTTACCCGTCGACGTTTCTCAACACACGACGCGTACATTTTCCTATGTTTTGACAGTTTTAATTAAGTGTAAAAATTGCGAAATAAATTTTTCGCCCGCGTGGCGTTTAGTGGATCGCATTTTAAAACTTGTACCATTTCTTACTGGAGCGTTGATTCCTCGTTAGGGAATCAAAGGGGTTTAATTCCGTGAGGAAATAATTAAAAGATTTCTGGACGTTCCATTTGTGTGAGATAAATTTAAATGTAAATATGCAAATTTTAAAATGAATACTGTTTTTATCGAATTTTTTGAAAATTTATTTTTTTTTAATCGAGGCTTTGAATAAACTCGATAGTTTGATTATCGCATCGATAAAACCGACAGTAAATTCTCAATGATAAATGAAACGTACATTTTCAAGCGTTTTTTGCGACTTCCCTTCAATTTGAATGGAAATTACGGATTCATTACATTTTCTAGTTACGATTAAAGCTACAAAAAAATTTGAATATCGGAAATCTTTTGACAAGATTTTAATCGTACAATTTCAGTATCAAGGAAAAGAAATCGGATTTTCAGCTATTAGAGGGATTAAGGATCGATAGAAAGGAACGAGACGACCTTTTGTGGAATTTTAATCAAATCATGAAAAAATATCGTCAGATAAAGTAACGGTTAAAAATTCTTGAATGTATCTGCGATAATGCTGTGCAACGTACTACAACAGGAAGATATATTATATCTTTAATCTTCGTCTGTGAATTTTCTACGTGTAGTGACGAACGAAAAAATGAGAGAAGGCAAAATTAAAATGATAAAAGTGTGTGTAGAAAATTAAATACTAGAAATGATCTTATTCTCTGTGACACATGACTTAAAAGTGCCGCTGGTAATTTTATATCTTCTTTGCTTAAAATTACATATTTTCTATTTAAAGAACGATATACGTATGTTGAATGATACATACGTTTGAATTAATACAATTTAATTAAACGGTAAGTCAAATGCCTGTAAAAAATCGAATGACGTAAATGGTTTTATTCTTTGTGACACACGATTTAAAAGTGCCGCTGGTAATTTTATATCTGTCTTATTTAAAATTACATATAGTTTCTACCTTGTTAATTAATTTAAGTTATAAAGATTAATTTAACAATTTGATAATAGCTTAATAACGCGAAAAATTCAATAATCCGAAAAATTCAATAAATAAAAAATGTTTATATAAAAATTATTTTAATAGATATTAAAGTTTAAATATAATTTGAAAGATGTGAGTATAAATCAATACTGTATCTTTTCAATATGTATGACATTTGGAGAAATATTGAACTCTTTTAAATTACAATTGCTGAGCCAAACTATGTACCAGAAATTTGAAATCTATTCAAGGTTGAACGAATAACGAAACCTTACAATAAAATTGCATTCTTGCGGAAACGCTGTTTATCAACTCTACCACATTTCCGCGTTTATCCCGCGATCAAGTAATGTTACAAGCTGCGAGAACAGCTTTTAATGTATTAAACGTATCGATCTATAATAAGTCGCACACAAAATAAACAAAAAGTAATAATTAATTTAATTAAGAAATCAATTATAGAATGTTATTAAGAACGTACTGTTCATGCATTACGTTTTCCTTTTACACCACGTTAATGAAAATGCGAAGAAATGTATTAAATTGCGATAGACGAGGCGTTTTTGTTCTTATTAATATGGTACGTTATGCGGATCATAAAGGACATAAAGGTTTTGTATGAAAGATGAACTGTATTATATGAAATTTTACGCGTGAATTATTGTCATCCACTTGTATTCAAATCCATTTCGATAATTGCTTTTGATACCATACTCTACTTGCAAATTGCAAGTCAATTCAATTAACTTACATGTTATACGCGGTTTAATGTGAAATTAACATGGATATCGAATTTATATTAAAACTGTATCGTCAGAGCACTGTCTATTAAGATACAACTCAATAACTTAACATGTTATGTTGAGCTTAACTGGCGTGAATATAATAACTTCGCGATTTCCTCAAAATTGAATTAGTGCACGCTTTGGTGAAGCCAAATGATGAACACAAATTACCTATCGTGGAATCCGAAAAATAGCCAGTAAATTTGCGGTTAAATGGAATTGAATCTAATTGCGAACGGAATGCACGCACGTGAAATTGCATTGTTGAAATGCATGCAGTTGCGAACGTAATCGAATCGAATGTAATCAAACTTAAAGTGTAAACGATTCATTATGTCACCCAAATGGACGTTTAGACAGAAAAAATATTCGCTGAACAAAAACAAACGTTCGAACGCAATCCTGCGCTCAATACCGATGGTCCGTGTCAGCGACGTTGGAAAACCTCCAACCAGTCGCACGTTTGTCCGAAGCGGAATGCGTTCGCGTTGCAATCAGCATGTCAGATCAAATAACCTTTTAGTCTAATATTTTGGATTTTTTTTTTAATCCTATTAGATAAAGATATGCAGATTTTGGTGCGAATCAAAGATCTAATTTTCGATCTAAATCTGTCAGTAATATTACAGGCTATTATTTATATTAATTGCT